TACTTTATAGTTTCTGTACTGTAATAAATGGTATGTCAATTAGCACTGCATCATTCATAAATTTTATTTATTTATTGTGCTTACTGTCTTAACATTTCACCAGTTCATTCTAGTTTTTATTCAGCTTAGCTGCAGCGATAGATGCCTTTGTCCATATTAGGCATTTCCTGGCACGTCTTAAGTTTATAAGCTTAAAATTTTCATAAAATAAAATGCTATAGTATTTAACTTGTCCTCTCTATCGGCGACTGATGATTCTGAAAGAAAACGCGCCTGATGTCTGTTTGCTATAGCAATGAACGCACTCTTATTTCAAGGTTGTTGTTAATGCTGTGGTTATTTTAACAGTTTCCTTCATACATTCGGTTCAACAACACTGTCTAAAGCATATGCACAGTTCCATTGAATGATAAATGTGTTTTAACACTTACATTTTTGCTCCGTCCATGCAATAAATGCGCAGCCTTCGACTGCTCAGGTAGTGTCGTTGGTATGACCGAGAGCCATTGAAAAACAACAGAAAAGCAAAACTACTTCACTTTACCATTACTGGCCACGAGTACTACGGAGAGATCACACATCAGCTGCTCAAAAATGTGTCAGTGAGACGAACTGAGCACGAGCGCAATCCTGTGACAGTCACAGGCGGTAAACAGTGGAGAACGTGAAGGAGAGATGCGAGGCACGAACACTGTTCAAGGACTCCATTAATTTGTGCTTGTAGAAATTTAATGTGTATATATTTTGAAAGCATTGAATCGCTATATAAAACGTGATTCATTTGATTCTTAGTGTTTTAAATAGATTACTGTCCGAAATCGACGATTCACGATTCTAAAATCCATGTTTCAAGATCGATGCAATTGCATCGTCAGGGTTTGTAATCGATGCATTGAGAAAATGAGTGAATCGTTACACCCCTACTCCCAGCTCCCAATGATACAGCAGAAACGACAGCCGGCCTGTTAATGAACCACATCTTCTCAAGGTTCAGACTGCCTTTAAAGGGGACCTAACGCACACAATTTCACCCAATCTCAGATTAATCTTGAGTACCTATAGAGTAGTTCTGCATCCTTCATATCTCCAAAAAGTCTTTAGTTTTACCATATTTATAAAAGATACAGCTTTATGATTATCTCCAAAAGCAGCCGAGCCCCTGCAGGCGCACCATGGGCGGAGCTAGAGAGTGATGAGCACTTGAGTGACGATTGCCAACAAAACACAGGCATTTGATGCCGTTTCACTTACCATCATCAGTTCTGAATCATGACGGGATCTTTTATAGCTGGGACCGCTCCATCTTTCAGTATCAAACGATGTGCAAATCCAGTGTCAAACTGGGCATTGTTTATAAAAATGTTCGGTAACAAACACACTTGCAAAGCTCCATTGCTGCCCCGGAAAACAAACTGCATCCGCTGTTTATGTAATGCTGGATTCTTCGGGAAGCGGATCTTTCCCTTACAACCAAAAACACACCTCTTTAGAGACATTCTTCCTGAGCAAGTCCCGTGCAGCGCTGCTGAATGAAGCGCGTTGATGGGCGTGCTCTTGCTCTCGCTCTGGTCGATGTGTGCACGGGCGTGCTCTTCTGGGAGAAATGTCCATATAAGGAGTTCCACCCTTCATTACGTCATGAAAAGCCACAAGTTTTGTAAGAAACCCGGAACTGTGTATTTGGCAAAGAAATACTCTTGTTATACATCCAAATCGTTTTTTGAAACTTTGGCCATGTTTAACATGAGAATCCAACTCTTTAACAGTGTAAACAACTCTGAATGCATGAAAAGGTATTGCACCCCCCTTTAAGAGTCAACTCTGACCGAGGAACCCACTTCACAGCCGAGGTCATGCAGGAAGTGTGGAAACTCCTGGGTATACAGGCCAAGCTCCATATAAGCCATCACCCAATTTCCTCAGGTCAAGTGGAACGAGTCAACCAGACAGTGGTCAGCATGTTGAAGTAGTATGTGTCCGCCAGTCAAAAGGATTGGGATATTAAGCTTCCTCTGGTACTGAGGGCCGTCAGGGCCACCCCTCACCAGTCTACCGGAGTACAGTACACCAGTCTACCGGTGCGACAAATGACACTACTGTTACACCTGCTGTACCAACCTGGCGACATGACCCTCGTCACCACCTACACCACCCACCAGTACCTGGAAGAGTAGCATCAACACCTGAGAACGACTTTCACCTTCGCGCAACAACAACTCCAAAGAAGCGCGGAAGATCGTAAAGCCTACTACGACCAAAAGGCGTCAGACAGCAAGGGCCAGAAATCAGAACAGATTAAGAGGCACCAGGAGCTCAATATCGGAGACAAAGTGTGGTACTACATCTTCGCCCAACCACGGCAGAACGCTCCCCATCGCCTGTCAAAAAAATTCCTACCTCACTGGACAGGACTCCAAGAGATTGTGGACAAGCTCTCGCCTGTTGCCTACCGAATCAAAATCAGGCAAGGGTGCAGTGAGCCAGTCCACCGATTGGTCAATCGAAATCAGATTAAGAGGCACCGGGGCTCCAACTGACAGGAAAAGAGGGAAGACCAAACCCACTGACACAGACCGACAATCCCATACTCTACACCACATTAACTAACGCACACAATTTCACCCAATCTCAGATTAATCTTGAGTACCTATAGAGTAGTTCTGCATCCTTCATATCTCCAAAAAGTCTTTAGTTTTATCATATTTATAAAAGATACAGCTTTATGATTATCTCCAAAAGCAGCCGAGCACCTGCAGGCGCACCATGGGTGGAGCTAAAGAGTGATGAGCACTTGAGTGACGATTGCCAACAAAACACAGACATTTGATGCCGTTTCACTTACCATCTTCAGTTCTGAATCATGACGGGGATCTTTTATAGCTGGGACCGCTCCATCTTTCAGTATCAAACGATGTGCAAATCCAGCGTCAAACTGGGCATTGTTTATAAAAATGTTCGGTAACAAACACACTTGCAAAGCTCCACTGCTGCCCCGGAAAACAAACTGCATCCGCTGTTTACGTAATGCTGGATTCTTCGGGAAGTGGAACAAGGTTATCTTTCCCTTACAACCAAAAACACACCTCTTTAGAGACATTCTTCCTGAGCGAGTCCAGTGCAGCGCTGCTGAATGAAGCGCGTTGATGGGCGTGCTCTTGCTCTCGCTCTGGTCGATGTGTGCACGGGCGTGCTCTTCTGGGTGAAATGTCCATATAAGGAGTTCCACCCTTCATTACGTCATGAAAAGCCACAAGTTTTGTAAGAAACCCGGAACTGTGTATTTGGCAAAGAAATACTCTTGTTATACATCCAAATCGTTTTTTGAAACTTTGGCCATGTTTAACATGAGAATCCAACTCTTTAACAGTGTAAACAACTCTGAATGCATGAAAAGGTATTGCACCCCCCTTTAAGAGTCAACTCTGACCGAGGAACCCACTTCACAGCCGAGGTCATGCAGGAAGTGTGGAAACTCCTGGGTATACAGACCAAGCTCCATATAAGCCATCACCCAATTTCCTCAGGTCAAGTGGAACGAGTCAACCAGACAGTGGTCAGCATGTTGAAGTAGTATGTGTCCGCCAGTCAAAAGGATTGGGATATTAAGCTTCCTCTGGTACTGATGGCCGTCAGGGCCACCCCTCACCAGTCTACCGGACTACAGTACACCAGTCTACCGGTGCGACAAATGACACTACTGTTACACCTGCTGTACCAACCTGGCGACATGACCCTCGTCACCACCTACACCACCCACCAGTACCTGGAAGAGTAGCATCAACACCTGAGAACGACTTTCGCCTTCGCGCAACAACAACTCCAAAGAAGCGCGGAAGGTCGTAAAGCCTACTACGACCAAAAGGCCTCTCACCAGGAGCTCAATATTGGAGACAAAGTGTGGTACTACATCTTCGCCCAACCACGGCAGAACGCTCCCCATCGCCTGTCAAAAAAATTCCTACCTCACTGGATGGGACTCCATGAGATTGTGAACAAGCTCTCGCCTGTTGCCTACCGAATCAAAATCAGGCAAGGGTGCAGTGAGCCAGTCCACCGATTGGTCAATCGAAATCAGATTAAGAGGCACCGGGGCTCCAACTGACAGGAAAAGAGGGAAGACCAAACCCACTGACACAGACCGACAATCCCATACTCTACACCACATTAACATAATTTCTGTGATTCTAGGGAAACATATAGCTACCTTTCCTAAAAACAACACCTACACACTCTCCTCCACCGCACTGCTAGGACCAACCTCTTGTAGAGAGGAGTTGTTCTACACATGAGACACTGGCCCTTGCTGTCTAACCTCATTCAGTGTCCTTGTGTCTCTTTATGTTTTCCCTTTTTCCTTTCTCTCTCTGTTCTCCTTTCCCCTTAACTCCCTTAACTGATCTTTAAATCCAGGTCCCAAAATTAGGAATGACTTCCTTCACCAAAAGTGTTAAAAAATCATTGTGGAAAGCCATGGGTAACCAATCGAGGAACCCCCGCCAAACCATGATCTTCACAGCTAATTGTTACTTCTTTTCTGTTCCATTACCAGGGAGATGTTCAGACTATCGCCTTGTTGAACCCCTGACAATTAGATCGATCAAACGGCCCAATTCTAGATAAATCCTAAACAATGCACCCCTACGTCGTCTCAAGTGTTCCTAACCCAACTATCCCAAATTACTTAAGTCCTGCACCAGGATTCAGTTTTTGATGGAGATGTTGTTTGTGTCTTGTGTGTGCCTGTTCTCTCTCACAGCCTCTTGTTCCAGTGCCCGCTAGAGTTCGCACCGGGAACCTCACCAGGCAAAAGAGGGATATATGTAGGATCTCTGTTGAACAGACACAAATAAACTATTGAATCACCTCATTCCAAGAAGAATCTAAAGCAGGGATCCTCAAATCTTGCCCACGAGAGCCACTTTCCTGCAGAGTTTAGCTCTAACCCTAATCAAACACACCTGAGCATACTAATCAGTGTCTTCAGGATCATTAGAAAATCACAGGTAGGTGAGTTTGATCAGGGTTGGAGCTAAACTCTGCAGCGCATTGGACCTCCAGGGCAAGATCTGAGGAACCCTGATCTAAAGAGTCTTCTCTCAGCCATCTGCGGGTCATAAAACTGATCTATGACCATCATATGACGCCTATTTGTCTGGACTGGCTTTCTGTCCTTATCCCTCAGGGGACTGATAAAAATCTAACTCAATCAACAGGAGAAAAAACTCCCTTCATCTGGACTCATTTAAGCAACTGAGCGTTCAGTGTTATTTTGTGAACTGCTATCATAAATTGATAATCGACTAACAGAAACAAGACAGATTAACACTGACACGTTTGAGCGGGAATCTCACAGGGTCTATACAGCATGACTTTCCTGAACTTTGGGCCATGTCCTCCCACCTCCTCTATGCATTCCAAAAAAACACGCTCTTTCTCGCTCCAACAAAGAACACAGAAACTTGCATAGACTAATTCAAAAGACAATCATTTAAAGTATTGCCAGTAGAGCATCTTTATTCACAAATAATGTGTTTTGTGCCTTTTTTGCTTGATGTGTATTATGCAATCAATGGAGTTTATCTACTAAAAGGGGTTATAAAACATTGATTAAAGTTATTAATGTGTATGCAAGATAACTGACATTTGATGTTGAATGAAAGCTTGTTTTATTTGCAGAACCTTGGTGTGGATGAAAAGTTGGTATTATAAACAGTGTTCGTTGTACGATACTTTATAGAAGTTATTAACAAAACCTGCAAAGATATTCCCCCACGTGATATATTGAACAATTCCGCCCTGCAACAACGTCTGACTGGGACAATCGCTCCTGGGATGGACTTAGCCGGCCCACTTAAAACCCAATGTCACAACTGATTAAGGGCTCTTTCACCTTTGTTTGATCGTGCTCCCACTTGTGCTCACTCACTGCACCATCACGCAATTGGGTCATCCAGAACTCTCAAACACTCCGTTGAAGCTTCGTGACTCTGCAGAAATCTTCAGTCTTTGAACCGCGCAACTCAGACTCTCAACTTCAAGCACGTCACCCTCCATAACCAAGGCAACCAACCACCGAAGCTCCTACGTAACCAAGCAACCATCCATTCATCACGAGTGCTTTCCCAAAAGGACGCCATCCAAGGACCAAGCGCCTGCAACAAGTGAACACAAGTAACAAACAAGGTCTCCTTTCTTGCTAAACTGGTTCTAAATCCTTTAAGCAGTCAAGATAAATCACAACCTGAGAAAATCACAAAAGCAGAGATTTGGCTTAAGAACTAGTAGCAAATACTAGACTTCTGGGACTTCAGTCAAACTCAGTAACTCTCATCCTCTGAACTGTATGTGTGTGTGTG